ACCCTCAAGGCCAGAGTTAAAACTGTTACTTACCTCAACAGCGTAAAATCCTACTCCGGGATGCCCCGTCTCTGGACTTGGTCTCCAAAACCTCCGAATCTAACCATAATCAGATTAATACCATCAACATGTGCTAAAGAATCGAATTTCACAATAAAAACTACAAAATATACCGAAAATCCGAAATCGGCCAAAACTCGGCCACCGGGCCCACGTCACGGAATCAGTCAACAATGGCAGAATCAAAACCCTCATCCTCTCCCGAGTCTAACCATATAAAATTTATCAAAATCGGACTCCGTTTGGTCCCTCAAATCCTCACTTAAAACTCTCCAAAACTCAAACCCTAACTCCCTCAATCAGTGTTAAAAATAGCGTGAAGCGAGGAAAAGCGACAACCCCCATTTCACGAAAAGCGAGAAGCGAGAAGCGAAGCGCCCGCTTTTTTGAAGTGAAGTGGAATTTAAAAAAAAAAAATTAAAATAAATACGGCATAGACAACACATGTAATTGTAAGCAAATGTTCAATACTTGAATTAAAAAACTAAAGAGTAGCATCAATTAAAGCACAAAATGAGAAAGGCAATAAGAACTAAGAATAAAAAATATATAATTGGGCAGAAATTGGGCAGAATCTAGGCAGAATTTGGGCAGAAACGGGGCGGAATTTTTCTGAAAAAAATTCGCCAGCATTTCGGCGCTTTTTGGACGTTTAGAAAGAAAAAGAAAAAGAAAAAGAAAAGAAAAAGGAGAAGAAGAAGAAGACTCGTTTGGGCCTTTTAATTCAAGTAGCGATCGCTTCTTCCGCTCCCGACCGCTTCATCGCTTCTCGCTTTTTAGAGAGAAGCGGTCGCTTTTCTGTACCTGAGCCGCTTGTAGTTGGGGTAGCGACCAACCCATCGCTCCGCTTCGCTTCTCGCTTAAAGCGAGGAAGCGGACGCTTTTTTTTAACACTGCCCTCAATTTCACTTTGAAATCATCAATCAAATCCCAAAAACGAAGATGGATTCATGAAATATAACCAACCGAATAGAGAACACTTACCCCAATCCATATGGTGAAAATCGCCTCCAAAATCACCCAAATCCGAGCTCCCCAACTCAAAATATGACTGAATGAACAAACCTTAGTTTTATATATTTTTTTGCCAGCTATTCTACCTCGTTTCTCGCGTCAAACAATCCTGAAACTCACTTTTTATGACTCCAATGGATTCCTTGTGAAATTCTAGTCAAGTTAGGCTTTCGAATCACTCAATTTGACCTTATAATGAATGAGATATGTTGGTTTCAATATTGCAAATAGTGCAGATTTTTAAATCAGTGGCAATTTTGTAGTTAATCTGAAAAATCTGGCATCCTAATTCATAGTAAAATGACCATAAAATCCTCATATAATGTCCAAATACGACGATTCGTTTTGCTACGGGTCCGTAATTACGATACAAATCTAATTCTTCAATAAAAAAACAAATCGGAGCTCATTTGTTCAATATGACATCATTTATGCTTGAAAAAACGGCGTCGAAACATAAGAAAAATGAGCGCAACACAACCCAAACCTAGGGGTGTTCAAAAACCGAACCGAAATCGAAGCTTAATGGCTTATTGGTATGGGGTTAACGGTTTAACGGACGGGGAACTGATTAAATTTTTTTTATTAACGGCTTATCGGTTTGGTGTCGGATTATTCGTCCTAACGGATAATCCGTTAACCCGTTAAGTATATATATATATATATATATTAAATATCAAAAACCCTTCCACTTTCGGTACTCTATCTCTAACGCCTAATTCCTAAATACGTATACTTGGACAGAACCAGCACCTGATCATGTGGATAAATCTGATGAGGTCACTTGGACAGAACCTGCACCTGATCGTGCGAACATAAGCCCCGAGCTTGATCATAATAATGGCTCCAACACGAATGGCAATAGGGAAGAGTTGATAAAGACCCTCATCATTTGTATAGTGATGGTGTGTATACTTATTGCAGTGATTGTGGCAATGCATTATCCGGAAAGATTGCCTCTTTTGCATTCGCTTGGACAATAAATTTTCTGCTTCCTACGGTAAGTTGTGAGTGGAGACTTGCGTGAAACCAGTATAGATTGAATTAGGCCGATAAACCGCCCGATAAGAGCTAAACCGATACCAATCCGCCCGATATCTTATCGGGTGGCTAGCGGATTAATACATTTAAAAGCCGATAACCGATAAGCTAAACCGTTAAGAGTAAATAACCGCCCAATTCATCCGATAAGCAGTCCTACCCAAACCTATCTGAAACCCACCCGAGGCCCTCAGGACCTCAAACAATAATTCCAACAAGTCATATATCACTACCCGAACTTAGTCGAACCTCCGAAACACCCAAAACAACACCAAAACACCAAATCAATATCGAATTCAAGCCTAAGAATTTCTAAACTTTCAACTTTCGCCAATTCAAGCCTAATTCTACCACGGACCTCCAACATTCCGGACACACTCCTAAGTCTAAAATCACCCGATGAAGCTAATCGAATCATAAAAATCCAAATCCGAATTCGTTTACTCATAAGTCAACTTTCAGTTGACTTTTCTAACTTAGCTTTGTAACTAAGAGACCAAGTGATCATTTCACTCCAAAACTACTCCGAACCCAAACCTACCAACTCGATACAACTCAACACAGCTGAACAACGCATAAAGAGACAGAAATGAGGGAAACGGGGCTATAACTCTCAGAACGACTAACTAGGTCGTTACAGTAAGAGAGGAATCTTCTTTCGTCAAACAGGGAGGGAGGGGGAGGAAGGGAGGGAGAGAGAGTCCTGCTCACTTGTTTAAGTTGGTACATCTTTCAAGGGGTCATCATCTTACAATTCGACACTGAGGCTTATGGAATGCTAAACTGCTCATTCTGGTTATTTGAGGGAAGATTTCTGCAGCATGTCAAATAGCATCTGAAACTTGGTTGTTGCTGTATTCTTATTCTTGTAGGGTAGGTTGGGACCTGGAAGGTTGCATCATTGCATGAGACTAATAGGTGCAGCAGATCGAGGCATGCAGATGATGGTTCAAAGGGCCCTTCAAAGAAAAGCTTTTGGAAAAGTAATTGCTCAACAAGGATCGTTCCTTTCTGATGTTGCTCGGGTAAGTTTTTTGCATTTAAATAATCTCCCATAACAGAAACTGCTTTGCTAGAATAATTTTGTCTCAATAAATGACAATGGACTTTACAGTGTCGAATTGATCTGGAGAAAACCAGATTACTGGTTCTGGAAGCTGCTGACCAGCTTGATCGGCTTGGAAACAAAAAGGCCCGTGGTACAATTGCAATGGCAAAGGTTAGTAAGAGCATAGTGACAGTGATTTATGATTAGCGTTATGTCTCGTTCTGAAAATACTTTACCATGACTATATGGTTTATAGGTTGCTGCTCCGGATATGGCATTGAAGGTGCTTGACACAGCAATGCAAGTGCATGGAGCTGCTGGTTTATCAGGTGACACTGTTCTTGCCCATCTGTGGGCTACAGCTAGGACGTTAAGAATCGCAGATGGTCCTGATGAAGTACACTTGGGGACAATTGCAAAGATGGAACTACAAAGAGCCAGACTATAATGATATAAATCCTTTTCTATACCGCTGGATGATCCAAACAGTTTGTTTGTAGATAACCTCAAACTCTACCCCCAACAAGAAGAGAATAATTGATAAATCCAAATTATTGGAAAAAGCGGGCAGAGAGCATGAATCAGAAGTCTATAGATCATAAAGTAAAATAATCATGGTGAAAATGAGTATAGGCAATATGGTGCTTGGATTATATTATTTGTATTGGTCAATAATGGTGTCAGTTTGTGGCGGCTACCTAAATCTTACCAACTGATGTATGCATGATCTCCAAGTTCTTTGAGAATTCTGAGTTTCAACGTCTTGGTATTTACATGAGCTTTCCTCACTTTGCTCTGTTTGAAATTCTTGAAGTTGTATTAGATTGCATTATTGGAACATAACTAGTGTTAATTTTGAGCTTTCCTCGCTTTTCTCTATTCTTTTATTTTTCCAGTTTTCTTTTCATGATACTTAAAATAAGAGCACCTGCTTTGCCCATTCACAAGGACTCAATTTTATGTCCAAACATCACATGCCAGCAAATGTGGTCACCATCGTAGGTACTCAAGATATTGTATCTGGAGGTGGATATATATGATTATTAGTTGCTTTATGAGGACCCTAGCTCTATTGCGAGTCAAAAATCCAATTTACACGTCCCCTTTTTTTATTTACGTGGATTTTATCCATTATCAGCCTCGATACAGAAAGGAGTAAAGAAAAAAGAGATGAGGACGTCTTAACAGTAAGAGAGAACCTCCTCATCTCGTGGCTAGGAACATCTATGTAGATGAGATTGGATTTATAGTGCTAATTAAGGGTGGTATAATGATTCTAAAAGGTCACTAAAATGAAATTTATAATAAGGTTATCTGTTTTTTGAAAAAGTAACTATGCATTATTAATAAACTTAATCAGTTTCATGCACTTTTCCTTTTTCGTTCGAAAAAAATAACGATGCATTGTATCAATTTGTTTTCAAAGGGGAAAGTTTAGCATTGAAACATTTTAGTTATCACTTTATTTATTTGATTAATGCGTTATCTAACTCTGTACGCCTTAACACTTGTATCAATAACGTGATTACGTGAATGTTAACGAGTAAAAGATGATAATTTGCTGATATAAAGTTTTTTTGCTGATAGTTATAAAATGTGATATTCAAAGGGTAAATCTATATAATGCACAAGTTAGAAACAAACAGGAATAGAATTGACCAGTAAAATTCCATTTACCAAACCTTAATTGTAGGAAAATTCAAAGTTAAAAATGAACACTAATTAACAGCCTCGTCTTTCCTTAAGACCATTTCACATCCTCACATCCTCAACAGAAACCAACAATAATTTCTTTGTTCCATTACACTATAAATAGGTTATCCATTTTGAACAAATATATCCTTCAGAGCCAAGGGGCATGTACACTCTCTAATAAGAAAACACCCCCCAAAAGCTCTGCTATCAATAGAACAAAACGAAAAAAAAAGAAGAAAATTACAAAATTATGGCTAACAAAATAGCCATTGCTGGGTTAGCCTCAATTCTTGTTGTGGCTTGTGTGGTAGCAGCAGCTGTTACCATTACCAAAAGAAATAGCAGTGATTCATCATCTAATAATGATAGCCAAATTTCAACCTCAACAAAATCAGTACAAGCAATGTGTCAACCAACTGATTATAAAGAAGCTTGTGAAAAAAGTCTTGCATCAGCCAAGAACACAAGTGATCCAAAAGAACTTATAAAAGTGGCATTTGAATCAACTATTACTGATATTAAAAATGCCATGAAAAATACTAGCTTGATTCAAGAAGCTGCTAAAGATCCAAGAACCAAAGATGCTTTACAAACTTGTGAATCTCTTCTTAATGTCTCTATTGATGATTTAAGAAGGTCATTTGATAAAGTTGGTACCTTTGATATCAACAAGATTAAGGATTATACTGATGATTTAAAGACATGGATTAGTGCTTCAATTACTTATCAAGAAACTTGTTTAGATGCTTTTGAAAACACAACTGGTGAAACTGGTGAGAAAATGAAAAAATTACTAAAAACTGCAGGGGAACTTACTAGTAATGGTCTTGCTATGGTTTCTAGTTTTGGTGAAATGCTTACGAATTTGCATATCCCTGGTATTAGTCGACGATTATTGACAACAGATTCTGACTACACATCAGCCTTTGTTGAGGCCGGTTCTCGTCGCCTTCTTCAAGTTTCTGGTGCAAAGCCTAATGCTGTGGTTGCTCAAGATGGAAGTGGACAATATAAGAGTATCAAAGAAGCACTTAAAGCTGTGCCCCCTAAGAATAACCAGACCTATGTTATCTTAATCAAGGCTGGTGAATATAAGGAAATGGTTGATATTCCTAGGAGTATGATAAATGTTGTCTTTATTGGTGAAGGCCCAACCAAGACCAAGATTACTGGCAATAAGAATTTTGCTGATGGCACTGGCACTTATCACACTGCCACCGTTGGTAAGTCATATATGAGTTTATGTTTTGTACACAAACGCCGTTTAACTTGATCTACAGATAACTATTTACTTCAGTCATGCAGGTATATATATATATATATATATATAACAACTTGAAGAGTAATTAATAACTTGCCATAACCAATTAAATTTCCCTATAAACAGTTAAGCACTTGGTCATAATATATACTGGAGTAGTAGAGTTTAAAGAGTGTGTGTATAAACTCTTGTACAACGTGCAGCCGTGAATGGAGATGGATTCGTAGCAAGGGATATAGGATTCGAGAACACAGCAGGAGCAAAGAAGCACCAAGCAGTTGCGCTCCGCGTGTCAGCTGACAAGACAGTTTTCTACAACTGTAACATAGATGGATACCAAGACACACTCTACACACATTCCTACAGACAATTCTACAAGGACTGTACTATAACAGGCACCATTGACTTCATCTTTGGTGATGCATCGGCCGTGTTCCAGAACTGCAAAATGATTGTCAGAAAACCAGGTGACAATCAAGCTTGTATGGTCACTGCTCAAGGAAGAAAAGATCATCGCGGAGTTGGTGCAATCGTATTACAAAACTGCGATATCAGAGCTGAGCCAGCTTTTACTAGCGCGCAGCCACCAATTAAAGCGTATCTTGGACGTCCATGGAAAGAATATTCAAGAACTATTATTATGCATTCCTATATCGACGCGTTTATTGATCCTGAAGGCTGGGCTCCATGGAATGGAAATTTTGCACTTAATACTTTGTTTTATGCAGAGTATCAGAATAGAGGACAAGGAGCAAATATTGATAAAAGAGTTAAATGGGGTGGTTATAAAAGAAACATTTCACCACAAGAAGCTGAGAAATATGCTCCTGCTCATTTTATTGACCAAGATAACTGGATTAAGAAGACTGGTATTTCCTACTAGGAAATCATATTGGCTTCGCGTCATGAATGTTTAACTTAAAAATATCCTTTTAACAAGTTTATTTTTATTACAGATAAAAATATGTACTCAATTATATATGTTTATTTAGTTTTCTATTACTCCTATCTAGTTTGCTTTTCCCAATTCTTTTTTCGTACCTTGCGATGTACTTAGTTTTAGCTTATTGATATCTATATTTTAGCTTATGCAAATTCATAAGTTAATTCAACTTGACTTCAGCTTGTTCATTCTTTTAATTTCCCACTTTTATTTGCATTATTATATCTCCCTAAAATCTATTTCATGGTTTCTTTTAACCGTAAAATTTTGGGTTGCTCTGTGTTCATATATATATATATATATATATATATAATATTTGTCCTCTACCTCCCATTTTTTTCTTTTTTTATTCTGTTGTTGTAAATTAATATAAGTTATGGAAATTTTATCGAGAATTATGTTACCACACCACTCAATAAGTACTAACTATAGAAGTTAGTAGGATAAATGATGTACAAGCATAAGTTGAGCATTTGTCTGAACTTCTCAATGTTATTATAAGACTAATTTGTGGATGAAATCACCAATATATTGGTTTATATGTTGTACAAAAACAAGTACAGAAATATCTCAGCAATGCATAACTTCCCAAGTTATACGAGATGTGTTGTAAAATCAATTCTTTCCAGAATTATTGAGTCATTTTCCTATATATCCCCTAACCACCACCTACTGAATTAGAAATACTCAGTTCAGAATTCAAGAATTGAACTTATAAATTATAGTATCATAGAATAAAAGTGGAACAGAATTCACATCAAATGTAAGACGGTATAGGGTAAATATGCTCATATTAAATGTTCGCATAATAAAACGACACGTGGAGCCGAATGCATATGGAAAGCGAGGCAAATGACAATCCAGTCCGAAGGCAGCAATCTCGTTTGTTCCCGAAGTGAATGTTGTTCATAAATACAAAATAAATATCTGTGCATTTAATGGAGAATATACTATAGCTTTTAAGTACGTAGTCCGTTACATAGAATGTAGCATACAATGCCTACCGTTACACATTCTTCAATGACTCTCATAATTATCATTTAAGAGGGGCTTGATCCTAGAACCTTGTTCCCTAGGAACAACCATAAATAGTGAGCTCAACAGCCATTGTAAGGGACGAATTCTCTGACAAGCTTATGCTACATACTGTTCAATGCTCAATAATATTTTATCTTCTTGCTTATTAATATCGTTACTATTGCCCCCGGAAGCTATGCCCCCGGAAACTTTATAAATACGTAAGTTTATAAAGTTTACTTCGTGACATTAATCAAAGGCATAATAGGACATTTCGAGAGATTTTATTGACGTACTTTCTCATGCATTACATTCATTTATACATATATATTGACCCATGACCAGATGGCGTTATATACGCGTATATATGTATATTATATGTATATGGGATATGGGAAAGTGGTTATGGCGTTATATACGCACCACCACCTGATCACCTGGTATACGTTGATGATTTTGCCCACAGAGGCCGAGGTGATGTGATGGGATGCCCTCAGAGGCTTGATGATGTTATGAACACATGTACCTATGCACGACATGACATTCATACGCATATGCATGACACTATAAGTATTTCATGATTTACAGAGTTATCCAGACTTACAGGTTAAGTCATTTACTCTATATTTCTTCCATGTCTTTTATGTACTTATTTATGAGCCTTACATACCGGTACATTATTCGTACCGACGTCCGTTTTGCATGGGGACGCTGCGTTTCATGCCCGCAGGTCCTGATAGATAGGTCAAGAGTCCTCCAAGTAGGCTATCAGCTCAGCAGAAGATGTTGGTGCGCTCCATTTGCTCCGGAGTTGCTTGTTTGGTCAGTTTGATTTAGACGCGTATTGTTTGGTATGGCGGGGCCCTATCCCGACATTTATGCTAAGTGTGTACTCTTAGAGGCTTGTAGACAGATGTCATGTATACGAATGCTTGTGTGGCCTTGCTGGCCTATGTTTTGAGTTTACAAATGATCATGTTGGCCTTACAGGCCCGTATATCACATGTATAAGTTTTTATATCAGGTTGGGTCATCCTATATTGTGTATTCCCCTATTTCTATTTTGGTTAGCCCATGACGGTCCGTTTGGCCTATCTGCCAATGAAAGTACAATAAGAAAGATATATTATGTTGGTACTCGGTTAAGTAAGGTACTGGGTGCTTGTTGCGGCCCATAGGTTTGGGTCGTGACAAAAGTGATATCAGAGCAGTTCTGTCCTAGAAGTCTACAAGCCGTGTCTAGTAGAGTCTTGTTTATGGGTGTGTTGTGCACCACACTTATAAATAGGAGGCTTCATGTCATTTAGGACTGGCACTCTTTCTTCTTACTCTAAATCGTGTGGTAGAGCTTAGTTGTAAGAACTCAGTTTCCTAAACTCTATCTTATTTATAATACGACGATGCCTACATCTAGAAAAATGGTTGGTAAGAGATTGCATGTGGCTGTGAAAGAATTGAGTCAGAGGAACTCGATTTTGCATCATGCTTATAATGAGTAACTGTAAGGTCTTCAGCAAATCATGCGTGTACTAAAAGGTGTAAGGTTATTGATAAGGAGTCTTAAGGCAAGAATACTTATCCATTCTTATGGTAAAAAAAGGAATAACAGAATCCGAAGGTAGACACAAGTTTCAGCAAGTAAAAGAAGCAAGGTGAAGAATGGTACGAGGTACCTAGTTAATAAAGATTATCATTATTTACCATTCAGGAAGGGAGATATAAGCATTTTGAGTTACCTTCAACAGTGACACAGAGGTATGTAATTACCCATCTCAGGCTAACAAGTGTAGTTTAAGAAAAGGACGGGGTATCAGGATCCGGCTGGGGTTAGAGTACCCCAAAATGGTGAATGGATTGTTTGCGTTAGTTGACATTTCCGAAGGATATTAGAAATGTGCTAATAGATCTCCTTGTGAGACACCCAGATGGTGCACTCTAAAATAGTACAGCTGGAAATGAGTACTACAAAGATAGGCACTTGAATCCTTGAAGGGATAAATATTACCTTAGTGTGGCTCGCGTCCCTATTAGAGTGAGAACGTTAAGCAACCCAAAGAGCCACTCGATGGAGCAAGGGGAGCTAAAAGCAAAAGAATGTCTTGTTCGAATTTTTGGAATAAAGTGATAGCCATAAATGCTAGCGGGAAATAAGAAGAGAGTTAATTAAGCATTATGAGTAAGATGTGATACATGGATGACAACGGTAGGTCAAAAAGATGACAGTATTACAGAGTTTATAGTCAAGTGAAGGAAAAGATGAGAGGTGACAGGCCTTGAGATAACAAAAGAGTATAGGCCATAAAGTCATATCCTCACTTCGAGAAATAAGTTCATGACTCCAACGAAACTACCAGAAGGAAAATTTAGACCCCAGAATAATAGAAATCAGTATGGGCTGGTGAACAAGATAAACTAAACATGAACTAGGGTCTGAGTGATTGGATAATAGTCGGCATCATGAGAGTTTCAGATTTCGTTCCAGTGATAGTAGAATGGACAACAGAAGAAGATTCATGAGAAATTCAGAGAATGGTCATTCAGGAAGACGCTTCCCTAAAGCAAGAAATGTGAGCAAAGTTAAGCTTAAGAGACTATATGTGCCAGTTATACTAAATGCCACCCTCGCGAGTAAGGAAATCTATTATCCTTGGTATAGAAGGATTACCGCGAGGCGAGCAAGGGTCATCGATGATGTGAAAAGATGCCAAAGATGAAGAGGTAAAACATCTATACGTAGATCATCGTAGCGCTAAATCTTAGTACTCCCCTAAAGGGGGGAATATGGGGTGATGTGGTATTAAGTCAAAATTAAGTGGTTCTAGTAACTATGAAATGGTAAAGGAAGAATGCAATAAAAATGAGAAAGGGATGAGATTACACTTATTCAAATCCTAAAGAAATGCTACGATTCTAGGACATTATGCAAACACGACGTCAAGGAAAGGAAGTAAGGGTTCATGCCCGAGATGTTATCGATGGATAAGGATCCAGTGCGAGACGTAAGTTAAGACAAAGGAAATAACCTAAGAAAGATTACGCGGAATATTGATATGAGAATGGACCAACGGGTAGTTAGTAGTTGATTTAGGAAGAGCCTAGTTATGGCTAGGCAAGAGATTGCAGCAGATCGTGCAAGATAAACATAGCAAAACCCAATATAGTAAATCCAGCCTCGCAGTTGTGACATTGTATTACTTGAGATATATTCAGATAGGAGTTGAGGAAGTTGAAGGTACCGTATGAGTGTTACCACTGGGAAGACAGTCAAAATATTAAGTTTAGAAGCAACCATACAAGCACAAGGGCATGGAGATAAGTAACTACGGATAATTATAGGCAAGGAAGGACATCAAAATTCCGTCGAGTATACGATGTAATAGGGTCATATCTTTACAAGAGTCAGAAGGTCTTCCCTAAGTACTACAACGAAAGATTAACTGAGGAAATAAGGAAGAAAGCTTCAGCCTAAACATGGTAACTTGAAAGAGAAATGGTCATGTAAAAAAATAGTCTCACAACAACATTGTACGCCCTCCATCAGAAGGTGGAACCTACCGTGGCTAATGAACGGGAAGTAAAATCAAAAGTAATATTCGAGATCATATGTGTGGTCCCAAATCAGTCCCAACTCGCACGAAAGCCCACCACTAAAATGACTACAACACAAAACACTAAAAAGACATACCCTTTCAGCACTTCAATCATGAGTATCAAGCGACACTTGAACAAGTCAGTACCTCTTCCCCTGATGATGGTTCTTCATGCATAGAAGGTAAATCGAACAAATATTAACCTATAGCACTAATTACCACTGAATATCGAATGAAAACGAAGCAGAATCAATGGACATATATCGCTTTGGACGGATTTTACTGGAATCGAATTTGGGACTTAGGTTTTTTTTGGTCGTTTGTCTTTAGGAATGTGTAAAAATGAGAGGCTTATTAGGAAGAGGGTAATTATATTTGGTTTTACCCGGTAAAAAAGTCTTATGTGTCATTGTAAAAACCGTGGAATTTTTTTATTGGTTACATTATCCAAGCTAGCAGCGCGTAATAAC